TTCGTTTAGAAAGTTATTGCTTTGCATAGAACAATTAAAATTCAATCAATGATCAAAATAATTATCAAATTTATAATTATATTTCCTTTTTATCAAAGAATGAGACACAATTAATATTTTTCAATGTATGGAGGTCTATTATTTATGGTTTAATTATAAATTGTAATTAATTCAGTTGTTTCTATTATCGATCTTAAGTGGGTCGTTTTGATTGCTAGAGGATAAAATTTTATATTAAATTATTGTTATCCTTCTTGGTTGGTACAAACTTTTAAATAATCAGTTAAGAAAAAACTGCTAAAATGCCTGACATCCAAAGAGACGGCACCCACCACAAAACAACATCAAAACCAAAGCTTTTTACTGGTTTTTCGCAACGTTGAAAATGAATGAAGATTTTGCAATGGTTGTCAGTAAAATTCGTGGATCGATTTTTACTATGGAATGGTCTCATCATCGATTTCCACTTAAAATAAGTAGGATATTATTTTATTAAAGTCGCGTGTGTGCACTTGATCGACACATTAACCAGTAAATGACGGGCTATCAAAAGTATCCTCTTAACTTTCCAATTCCACTCGATAGGATCGCAATCATCCTCCGTATTATTCCAGCCACCTCTTTTATTATCTTTCATTATAACTCTACGCTTGCAAAGCATTGTCGTTTTTTTCTGTCACGAGACCGCGAATAATATTTGGATATTTGCGCAGGGAGAAGCAAATTAACTTTCGCTGGCGCCGACGCAAACAAACAAACAAAACGTTGCTTATCTTGATTATGCATCGGCGTTCCGGTGGGACTTAATTAAACGAGTCGCAGGCACGCAAAAGCGTGTATCGTCGTTTTGTTGCGCCCGAGAGCAACAGCGTCCCATTGTTGTATCTGCGTCTTATCGGCGACGGGGAGGCAGACTTTTGATGTCGGCAAGTGGGAAAAGGTGGAGAGAACCTGACTGAGGTGTTCATGACCCGCAGAAATTGAAACAAAGAGAGAGCGTGTCTCTTTTATCTGAGTGAGCAGGCACTTTGGCCCGGCTCATTGTTCCTAATTTTGCCTGCCGTACAAAATGAATGACATGTTTCTTTATAAACTTGCCATGTTTTAAAGCCACATTAAATTTTTTTTCTACTTAAAATACTTTTATATTTGTGATAAAATATACAGATACCCGAGATACCCTAATTCTAACTTTTGATAGTTTTTTTCTTTTTGAAGAAAGCACTCTGAATTGAATTTGCCAGATTTGAACAGAACTAAACCTGAAATAGTAGATTGAAAAATTAAATAGAAATAATATTAATTAGGAACAATAGGGAATAAAGTGAAGGGTATGATTGTTTTGATATAATATGAATTGAATTCAGTTCGTTTATAATTTTTTCTTATTTAATATTAGACTATATTTTTAATCGCCATTTTTTATTATTCATTATTTGCGAAAGAAAAAATGATGTGAATTGATGTGGCTTTAACCATCATTTAATATTCTTAAAAATATAATATGGTTAATTGTCTGCAAATTCAACAGAAGTTTCCTTTTAATCGATTTTTCAAATGAACTTGAAACAAATTCAATTAGAGGCCGAGGAATTTGATTAAGCTGTGTGGCTTTTCGAGCTGAATGATTAAAAAAGTTCCGGACGCTACTGCAGCGTATATAAAGTGGTCGGCCGTAAAATCTCTAAACTCATTACGCTTGGGCAGTACGTTGAGTTCCACACATCGAGTACCGCCAGCCCAAAAAGAGCTGCTGCGTCAAGTCTCCGGTCACGCGATTATTTGCCAACTTGACAGCTTTCTTATAGCTTCATCTAAAGAACGGCCGTAAAGTGTCAACTGCCTCAAATTTCGTTAAAAAAGGCAGTGAGAGAATGAAAATTTTTATGGCATACTTGTGTGTAATAGAAAGTTGCTCCCAGATTAAAACGAAATTTGATAAAGAGAAAAAAATTGCTGCATGTGAGGGGCTGATAACAAATAAACTATATTTATTTTTAAAGTGTATATAAGTGAGAAATTGCATGTCTGCTGGAATTGCTAGAGGAATGACCTGTATTAGAAAATTTTGAAATTTAAAAAATAAATCTTCGTGAACATTAAATATGTATATTTTTTTTCAAAATTAATCACATTCACTAGGAAATTCCAATGAAAATTGAATTTCCAGTGCCTACCGTCTTTGCAAAAGTGCAAAACATACGGATTTGCTTATGAGTAGCATTTTTTAACGATCTCTTGTTAGAGAGGATTACTTTTGTTTCTCCTTTGTTTTGGCAGAGTGTCGTAAAACTGGGAAAGAGTTCAATTTCCGCTCACGAATTTCTTCTCTCCCTGTTAATCACATTGGAACGCGTACCGTTTTGAATAATAAATTCGCAGTCGTCGCGAACGCAAATATAATTTTTTACTGCCCCACTCAAGCGAGCACAACAGCTGCACGTAGTGAACGTGCAGCGCCAAATCATGTTTGTCATAAAGCGGCCCGGGCAAAAATTCTCTCTGTATAAAACAAAGTGTAAGTGATGGCGGCAAAATTCGCGCTAGTCTAATTGCCGCCGGCCGTAAATTGCAATTAAAAGTAAGTGGCTGGCTGGGCTTCGCTCTCAGAGAGCAGAGCCCGCCGCCGCCGCTCAATGCATTGCACATTCAATATTTTAAAACTAATTAGGCCGCGTGTAATTTTCATTTGCAAGAGAATTGCCTTGCGCAAGAGAAACATGCAAATTGAACTAACCCGCTTTGCTCACATGCGGCGATGATAATCAAAAGGAGAAGTTTCCTATCAAAATCTTTAGTTCTTTTAATTTCCACCAAAAATCAATTGAAATTATTTCCACTTAGTTTTAATCAAATTTCAAAAAAATATTCCAAAAATCTTATAATATCTCAAAAATTTAATAATTTTAACTGCAAAATTGTCGCCCAAGATTTTTTTTTTAAAGTTAATTTAAATTAAGTTGCACATGTTTCACAGTAAACTAATTAAAAAAAAACACCCTCAGTTGCATTTGGAGGGGAATTTTAATTACAAGCCAGCTGTAGGAAACTCATAGACCACATTTGAAAGCTACCATGTTTAGTTATTCAATCTACTTCCGGAGCTGGAACCAAATTCTGTCAAACAAAGGACCGGCTCACTGTGTGCGATCCGCATGTTTACTTAACATTGATAAATTGCCAGCCCAAAGCTTGATCGTGTGCGACAAAAGCTCTACAGCTTAATTTGGTGCGTAATCAGCTGTGCACCCGCCGTCCAATTAATTAATCCACTCGGCTTACTAATGACGTGTGTTGCAACCGACCACTTTTGCATTTTTGAAAAGCCAGGAAGATGGCGACGAATGCTTCGTCATGGTGAATTTTTCCTGCCCAGTGATTACGATCTGCGTTTCGTGACTGCCTGCGACAAACGAAACTCACTGTGACGCGCAGTGAGGCGAATTTTTAATTAATAATTATGTCCGCGGCCAGTTAATTTCCTGCTTGTCAAAGTGTTGCAGAACTGGATGTTTTTGCCAGCGAGACAAAAATAGCATACTCTGCGTGACGAGCGGTGATAACTTTTATTTATTTTTTTTTTATTTCATTATATTAACAAAATAATTAGTATAGTTGTCATAGTTGTGGCTCCTGGCCAATTTTTTTATTTTATTTTTTTTTTATATATATTTTTACCTATATAACAACTCTCAGACAGGGAAATTTAAAGAAAACCGTTTGATTCAGTTCAAAACTTTCTACAGAATCTGAAGAATGAAATTGTTCCAATTGTGTTTAGAAAAATTAAAGAAATAAAGCGGTCAAATTAAAAATAAAATTTTTCTTTCTATTAATGGAAAAAAACTAAAACATATAACACTTTAAAGAGGATAGAGCAATTAAAAAACTTCCTAAATTTCCTAAAATGCAAGAATTATTGCAAATACAAACAAAAAAATTTTATCAGCTAAAAAAAGATGAAAAATAATATAAAAAATATCAATAAGAGTACATAACGGAAAACTGTCTCTGAGAAAATAAATTGTAAGAAACTAACCGTTTCTCGTCAAACAATTTTGAAATTAATTTATTTATGATTGTAATTGCCATAATATACGTATTCAACATCAATGCAGCAAATATGAAATTTCCAACTTTAAATTAGATTCAAGCTCTCCATATATTTGTTTTAGCTAAAGCTTCAGTTTCATCGTACGTTGTGTACTATTAAAGCATCGACTGCTCGAGGCGGCAAAAGCCACACGCGGTGAAACCTCCTCCTCGAATCTCGGCTGCAATATTAATTACGGACGTGGATAAGCAGCCCGCGGCTGGCAATATAACATTTGTACTCGTCGCCAAGCAAATAACGAAACAACACCTCTCGTGTGTGTTGTGATTTATGCCTGCTATTTATCCGGGCGACTGCTCTCGAGCTAAGAAGAAGTTGCAGCAATTCCGAGCGCGAAATATGGCTGCGGAATTGCCCCCGATCGGCCTGATTTATGCTGTTCAAACACCGCGGGCTGCTTCTTATTGCTCCGTACGGAGAACTTGCATGCGATGTGTGCTTACCAGTGACAAATTATAGCAACTTTTCTCCTCCCTCTCATCCATTCATTGTGTGACTCTAATTGCACGAATAGACTGGTGAAAAGTTAAATTTTTTTTTTAAATTTTCTCTAAATACATTCTGGCGGTGGAACTTTGTCAATTTTGTCTTTCTGATTCAACGTATTTACAAGATTTAAAATGACTATTTTGTTTGAAAAGTTATTTTCATGAAAAATGGATTTCCTTGAAAGTCATTGTGATCATGAATTTTATTAAAATATCATCTTTAATTCTATATTTTGAAAAACTGATTTGTTAAAAAGACAGTTTTAGCTCAAATTTGAGTCTAAAATGGCTCCTCTTTTTTGGATTATAGATACTTTCTCACCAGTCTATGCACGAAAGTAATAAAGATGCAATATTCAAGGGGTAAAAAATTCATTCAAAACTCCGTTCTGTTACAGGTTTGAAAAAAACCATGTCCATCTCCGCCTTCCGCCGAAAGAAGCTGCTCTACGTGTTCAACGTCTTTTTCGGTGAGTTGTGAAAAATTTTCTTCCTCTTTCTACCGGCAGGTGTATATATTTATTTCGCGTGTGCGAGGGTGAAAAGTCATTAGGTGCAGGTGGAACGACTTGGTTCTTCTCAAAGAGCTACACGCCTGTTGGGAAATGTTTCGCTCTGCTAAACTTGCTTTCGACGGCCAACTCACCTTGACTTAAAATGCCTTGCAGTGTACGTGTATTTGATGTTCGTTCGGACGATGAAGCTCCAAAATTAAATAGGGGCTAAAGACTTACTCTTAATCAAGCCAGTCTGTACCTATGTGTGATGGACAAATTACTTGGGGGAGGCGGGACAACACGAAACGCAATCAAATTTTCTTTCCTTCATTTTAGGCTAGAAAAAATTTAGCTTGTTAACTAGCATTTTTTATTAAAAATTTAAAAAACCTCGCGTTTATGAACGTGTTGATGAAAAGCTTTATTGGCGATGCACGTCTCAAAAATATTTTACTCATGGCTTTGAACTTGTTGAGTTCAATTACATACTTATCATGGGATAGAAAATGGCTGTATGGAGAGAGTAAATTAATTTATGAATATATTTTTATTTTTCTCACAAAAGATTAAATGTAGACAAATTTTTAGAAAGCCTATTTCAGGATTTTTTTTCGGGAAAAGGATATCATTATTATATTTTTTTATTTAAAAATTTGCTTTAATTTGCACAAATAAACACAAATTTTCTTCTTTTTGACAATTAAGATAAGTAAAACTCGTGTTGATTTGAATTTAAAGTAGGCTTTTCCTTGATGGGTCTTTGTGAGTTGTTTATTGTTTAAGAAAAAACAATATCTAGCTCCACATATTTTGACAGCGGGCTGCAGCCATAATTCATGAGCTTTCTCGGCGGTGGTCGAGAGAGGCCGCCTTTAAATTCAAATCACCATGAATCAACCCTCAATCGTAAAAGTAATTTGAAAGATTCAATGATGAGTTTTTTTTCAGTCATTTTGCCAGAAAATGTAGTTTTAAAGCAGCAGTTTCATCAACTAAAAAGTAAGAAAACAGTTGACTACTTTAATTATCCCATTAACACAGGCTTCCAGTCCTTGGAAATGTGCCACTTTTATGTTAGCCAGCAACTATTTTATTTTTGTTTTGTTTTACAACTTGGTCGCCGTTTGTAATTAATTTGCGCCCAACGAATAGCGACGGTTGGCAAGAAAAAAACTACTTTTCCCTCTCTTAAGTTGGGACGAGGCTGGGCAGCTTTAATAGTTCGTAAACAGGAGACTTTGTCAAAGTCGTTGCGCAATTACTCCCTTGTCAAGCGAGTGTCTTAAGACGACCTTTCTCAATGCGAGTATGAACGAGTTCGCGCTGACATTTGGCTGGAATTCAATTTCATGAATGAGCTCACTCATCAAGACAGGGGCGAAGCATGCAACCTGCACGACAGGCCAGTCGGACGGGAAGCCTAACCGAGAAAGGTCTGCAGAGCCCGCAGTCTGTCGGTCGGTTTCGTCGGAGCAGAATGGAAATTGAAACTCGCCGGGCATAAACGTTTGGCCTAATAACTTTCAATTGAGTGCCCTCTTTGAAGCGGCACAATTTCCTGACTGGCGCCACAGCCAGCAATAATAATAATAATTCTGCGGACCAAAGTTAGTCGCTCTCTCTTTGGACCGATCTTCTCGGCTCTCCATTCACTCACAATCAGCGCTCCCTTTTATCAGGAATCTCATTAGTCGGCGCCGCTCCTACAAGGTTTGATAATCATCGGTTGGGCGGCGAAGATTGCATGGCCTTTCATGTCTATTCCAAACTTAATTATTCTCTCCACGTGTAATCAGAGTGATTCGATTAACCAGTTGATGTGGGACAAAGTTTCTTTGCGTCACGTTTTACTGTTGTAAAGCTTAACGAAATTTAAATTGATGATGCTCGCTTGGTTTCTTGAAAAATCTCTTCCGGCTGTTGTATATTGACCTAAATTATATTATTTAAAAAAATTTCTAAGTGTAAACAAGGTTTTCGCTAATTGAATAACGTTTTTTGTCACAAAAATTTTGGAAATAATTTATTGTTGAAAAGGCTTACGTTTCTCATGCCAACCTGAATTGCTGTAAAAATCAGTTAGGAATAAAATAAAATTTTAAATATTTGGTGTGAAAATTTGAAAATTATGGGGGGGGGGGGGGGAATGCAGATTTTTTAATGTATGTTAGAAAAAAAATCTTCATTAACTCGTGCATTAGTTTATGTCAAAATAATTCACAGCTCCTATGGTTGCATCTCAAAAAACCCTTTGAGGAGACATAAAATCAATTCACCATGAAGAATTAGAACTTGAAAAAATTTCCTCTATCGCGTCGTAGGTAATTCCTTACAAAATTGAATTGAAGGGCTTAAACGTGACTAACGATGTTGTATTGTTGGGATTATTCAAAGTTCGCAAATCTATTCACTGATTCCCATGCCTCACAATGAAACAAAATAAAGGGAAAATCCTATTTCCAAACACTAAAATCGTGGGAAATCAGAATGCAATACTTTCCCACACGCCCTAGTGCAGTAAAACCAGTTTTCACACACAAATCCATAAAGTAAAAAAAATCAATACGAAATTGCCATGCGGGCAGAGCAAACAAACGTTCCAATTTTCACACTCGAGGCACATCCAAAAGCAAAAGCGTGCATGCAAATTAGAGGGGCCTTAATTTGTTTGAATTGGCCGCGCAGGTGACCGCGAATCGCCCGAGGAAGGATAGGGTAGTCATTATGCGCATTACAAGGGCCGTTACATTAAGGTGTTAGGCAACACGTATACCAACCAACACGCTCGATAGGAAATTATTATTCGTCGCGGCTTATGCATGCAAGGGGAGTAAGGAAAGGAGCGAGCGATAAAATCGCGTGCTAAACTGATTAGGGCGGCCGAGATTTATCACGCTTGGGTGTGGTGGTGTGGGACCCCCTGTATTTTTCATCATTACCAAGGGCCGTGTGTCCACCTGGAGTGATACATTGCCGCCGTCGCAACACGCGAACCAAACAAAGAAAGAAAGAGGGAAAGGCGACATTCATTAATTGTCAACGCAATCGGCCGCAACTGTGCTGTGGCCACACCAACTTTATATACCCTGCCCTCTCTGAAGTGTGTTTGTCGAGAGCAGAGTAAAAAAAGGTAAAGGCTTTTGTTCGAGTGTTTGCACTCGAGGACGTTTGTTTTTCCGCGCTGATCTTGTAATGAAAAAGGAAAGGGCTGCGCATTGACTTTTGACTTTCCTTTTCAAATAACCTCTTTCTGCAAAACTCGACCGTTGATATTGAATATTGACATTTATTTGACGTAAGAATATTTGAAAGAAAATTAAACTTCTCTAGAACTGTGTTTGTTTAAAATTTCTTAATAGAATTTTCCATTGTTTAAAAAAGAAATATGTAGAATAATCGTTATCAAAACGTTTTCAAAAATTCAACTGAAAATTTGAATGAATTACAAAATTGATGATCTGGGATCTAAAAATTATAATATAAGTAAATAATTCCATTAATCATTATCTAGTTTCCTACCCTCTCAATATTTATATTATATTATCCATTGGACAGTAATGCAAAATTCTTTCCAATAGAATTTTCTTACGTCTTTCCCTTCTAATTATTTCCAGAGACGTCTCAATTTGCTAACAAGATTTTCTCTTGCGTTCACTAATTAATTTTGTTGAGCTCTTTGTAAATTCATCGTCCGCATGCCAATTCTATCTGCATTTTGCTGGCCTCATTTCATTTGAGTAGCAAATTTCCGACAAAGCCTCTTTACAAATGCCATTCATTTGATTCCTGCAGTTTACGAGCTCAACTACTGGTGTTGTGCCTGTCAAACAGAATAACGCGAAAGAAAGAAAAAAGCAATAAGTTACAAAGAAATCACATGATTTAAACATCAGCATTGCTAGGAATTCTCATTTGACTTGAATTAATTACAATGCGGGACAAATTGTAGCTGTATGAATGTAGTTAAGGGGATGTAATTCCAGTTTGAAATGAATCAATTGCTCAATGTTGAGTAGGATAAAAAAAAATTTAAAAAAAATTTAGTTTCGCATTTTTCCATGCATGCATGTTGCCTGTCAAATTATGAACAATGTGGATTGAAAGGTTATTTGGTATTAAAAATAAGCAGCAAATTTAATTTTGAAATCAATAACATAGTAATTCTCTAGAAATTTACAAATTGAACACAATTGGGGTTAAATATTTATTTGAAGAATGTTATTTTTTATATTGAATTCTAATTATTAATTCCGGTTCTGATTCTAAAACTCGTTATGAAAAGTTATTCCTTTCATGCCGAAAATCGAATTTGGAGTCAACATCCCCTCACACTTTTCATAGCGAGGGTCATTCTCGGTGTAGCAGCGAATCCAATCGTCCAAATTGGAGAGGCGAAAGCCCGGCCATAAATTTCGAGGCAACTTCCTCGCTGGGACGAAAAGAGAGCTCGGTCGCAACTGTCTGAGCCGCATTTGATGTATGTGCATATCCAAGTTCCCTTTTCACAGGAAATTCCGGCTTCCGTCCAAGAAATAAGCCAAACTCGTCGAGCGGATTAGTGGTCCGGGCAAAAAGCGGGAAACACAAAAGCCAGCGGTATATCGGGGCCGAAATCTGTTCTCGGCAAAAGATTTGTCAACGGCGGTTTTTATTCTTGACATCAGACTCGTTCCTTCTCTATCTGATGATATTACTCGGGCGTTCTTTTGTTGCGCCATTGCCCAAGTGAGTGAGAGCCAGTCGATCGCCATTGTCGATCCGTAATGGCACCAGCAATGAGCCATTCACTCCACATTATCGGCTTCTCTCCTCCTCCTGGATAGCTCTCGTCGAAAACGATTGCACCTTCCAACTCAGGAATTGGCTCCCGATTGATCAGTTGCGTCTGATAAATTATTTTCCTTTGAAGAAAATGAGATTGCTTTACAGCTCTATCGACTGGAGCTCTAAGACACGTTCTTTAAATAATGCAC